ACATAAATGTATGTACACATACAGGTGTATATGTGTGTGTGTATAAAATGAGGAAAGTAATTTGGGTTTCAGTAACTCGTTTGGCATCCTTAAAACATTAATTTCCTCACCTATAAAATCATGAAATAAAAAAATATGGTTAGTACTTAATCCTGGGTCTGGCATAGTATACACCTCAATAAATATCAGCTATTATGAATTAGGTGTGACAAAATTATAAACGCAATCTCCAAGATCACAGGAAGGGGCTTTTCTACTCTGGCAGCTGATTAAAGGATCCCAGTGTGTCCTCACTTCCAGGCTGTAGAAAAGATGACAAGGTGTTTAGAGGGTATCAAAATAAGTGTTTGTGAAATCAGGCTGCTCTATGTGGTTTATTTGGCTAACACCATACTTCTTGTTTCGTATTCTTTGAATAACTTGAAGATCTTTAGACAGAATATACAAACTCTAGTTAGATACTGTGTCTATTATCCACTATAACCTCATACTCTTGTTGCTTCAATTACATTTCCTTTCTTCCTTATGAAGGTCTCATGATTACACATATAATGCCCTCGATATAGGTTGCTAAGTTCTCTCCAAGGGTCTGAATATCCATATTTCCTTCCCCAGACCAGAAACTCAGGGTTATATGAACCCCATATCATATCTGGGAAAGGCTTCTTCAAATTTGCTTTGATTATTCAGTAGGCTTGCAAGCAAATCGGAATTGTTCAACTAAAATCCCAGTTCTAAGTGAAATAAATCCTTTAGTATACACTCCCAATATATCAGCTCTCTGGACAAAACCACATCTGTTCCTCTTCAGTAACATTCTCATACATATTTCAGGAGGATTTTGATTTTGGAAATCAAGCCAGCCTATATGCTCCAGGCCATTTTCCCCTCCCTTTAGTCCATTTCCACAAAACTAGGTAGAAGGCATAATACCATCCTATTCAATGGCATATCCTCCATGATACTTTGCTTGGATCCATTTAGATTGCTAGTTAAATTAAGCTCCTCACAGATATGAAAGACATTCCTTCTTTTTTATACATTTTCTGAGAAAACACTGCCTTATGGGATTTTAATGGGAATGCTGGAAATAACTCTGAGTGAGAAAATGTCATATTAGGAATGATGATATGAGGACAGTTTACAGTTTCCTTGGATGACACATTAAAGACAGATCTGCATATGGTTTTCCTGCTGTCAAGAGTGCATGGTTGGGAATGCCCAGGGAAGGAGTCACTGCATGCCTGTTAGCAAGCTCTGTGCTCCCTGTGGATTCTGGTCTCAGCTGATAGGAGTCCCTAAGGAACACCATGCTGCATGCGGGTTGCAATTCAGCTTTGAAAATTACTTGCTCCTGGAGTATGAGATATGTGTGTTGATAAAGACACCAGTAAGTACAGCTGCAAACATACATAAGTGGATTTGACGTTGAATTTCATGTTTGAATAATGTTTAAAACGCCCACAGTGCCTTTTTCTGATGTCTGGATTTCTGATGTCACCAAAACAGGCATTAATGTAGGAACGAACAAGCAGGATTAAAAGATTACAGGGCTGATGACCTGAACTAGCTAAAAAAAACAGAATACCTTGAATACACATCCCATTAGATCAATGGTGAAGAAATGGATTGTTAGAAAAGCCAAAAAGATATAGGTGTCAAAAGCAAACAGTTCAGTGGTGACATGAAAACAAAACTCATAACATAAAAGTCAGAAAGGAACGAGATTAAATTTGAGCCTGAAATCAGGCTGGAAATATGTAACCAGAAGAACAGTTCTGTGGTATGAAAAGAAAGTCCTTGGCTATAATCTTATTTATTCTGAAGTTATAAATACATTATTTTCTCTACCTCAGTTTTATCATCTGTAAAATTGGAATAATGGCACCTGGGGGACAACGCTGAGGATTAGCTACTTAAGTTTCACTGCATTGTTTATTGTAATAAGTTCTTCAGAGACTAGCATAAGTATGTGGTGAATACAGAATGAGGTGAATAAATAAATATAAATAAAACCTTTGCATATGTAGTATATGTACGCATAGAAAATAAATGACATGAAACAGAGCAATAAAATATTTTCTTAAGTATAAGAAAAAAAAGAGTGCTGGGAAGTATAAAATGGGTCACTGTAAACGGGTAAAAATATTCCACATATCATATTGCCCATCAGCAAACATCTGATTTATACCAGCCAGATGCATTTTGAGTAAGCCTTTAATGTGTTTTTATATTTTTAAACATCAAGAAGATGATAGTCTGAAAAAAGAAGCATTTTGCAGTTGCCCAAGCTTTAGAATTATTTCCCAAAGAAGCATCTGGGCTTGCCTAGAGTTTGAAAAATATGTTGTCTTCCTTTCAGTGGTGATTATTCTAATATGTCTCATGACCATGTGATGTTATGTTGCCTGGAGTAGATGTCCCTGAGAATCCAAAGAGCCAAACTGCCTGTCTTAATTTCTTCCATGCCAATGCCCATGTATAGTTGGTGATATTATACACTGTTAGCTGGAAAATTCAACCCTGTCTGGGAGGAAAGTTTAGAAGAAAAGAAATATGAGCCATCTGATAAACCAGAGGGCATGCTGAAATTTTATTAGTGTTCCTAAGGCTTATTTAGTGTACTAGTACCTGTCCTGAACACTTTATTTTGCGCCTGGTACAACACATGATGGGTCATTGAACAGTGGGCAAACTTGGTACTCTCAACCATTGGGTCCTTGGATGTCTCAGACATTGGCTGGAAAGGTTTTATTTGGGACCACCAAGACAGTATGAGAATACTGTGTTCCAAACAGTTCCAATCAATTTTACTCTTAAAAGTTTATAGTTGAGTTGTTTTCTGGATGTTGTAAGTCAAAATAAAACCTGTTGAAATAGGGTATTTTAGGCATAATTGCTTGGCATCATGCTCTGAAAATTTGCAGACTCATGTCTATGAGCAAAACTGTGGGAACCTAGAAGGTTTACTGGGATAGGAGGGAAAAGGTGGGTTCCTTCAACTCTGGCAATAGATTTCTTGAATTATACAGTTACAGATCCATGCTTTATCAAATGAACATTTTTATAAATTGACTGGATTAATTTTCTGACTATTATATAGCCACAGTAACCAAAATTGCAGAACTAACAATTGATACACATGACTGACAATATGCTAAAATAATTATTTGGTGAACTTCTATGCACAAGTTGTTACTGTTCTTTTTTTTTTTTTTTTTTCTAAAATTCCTGAACAGTTTTTTTCTTGTTTTGTCAGAACCAATTTCTAACTACTGAGTCTTGACACTTCTTGAGTCTTTCATTTCAACTTGAACAGTTTAATCAATTCTTTGGAGCTTCTTTTGTCTTCTTTGGCAAAAACAAAACACTTCTATTTTTCATTCTGTAACCATTGACTAAAAGATCCAGCATTTCCACTTGGATGGACTTAAGTTAGCTTCTCAAAACATTAGATTATTGTTGTTAAGTGTGAAATTAACTAGTTAATAAACTTAAGTTCAGAAGTTTCAATGGACTGAATAAAGGTTATCCCTCTAACAATGTTACATTAACTCATTTGGTTCTAATATACTTTCTTTAAGGGGAAAGACAGAGAAAAAGTATATTTCTCCTACTTAACATTGAGGCCCGCCCATAAGCCTGGTTACTTTTACAGAATCTCTTAGAAGCCTGTTAGGGAACAAAGCAAACAAAATGAACAAAACAAAAAACAAAACAAAACAGGGATTTCCAGCCCCTATCAAATGTAACGCCCATTCCCAGAGGGCTGTTTTAGGTGTGGGCTTCACTGTGGAGCTTGAGCGGCAGGCTTTAGTGTGAGTTGTCCCCAGAGAGTATGACACCAAATTGGTTCAGAGAGAGATTTCTAAGGGTTAGTTAAAGAACATAATATGGGTTTATAATTGTAAAGCTTGGTGTGACTCTTGTTTCTCATTCTTCTTCAACTATTTCTGAAACAATTAATATGTAAAACAGCAACACTGGAAAAATTCATTCAAAATGATCACTAAGGCATACAACTAATAGGTTAATAAGTAAGTGTGCAGTAACTATAAATAGGTGTCTGCGTATGACTCCATGATAAAGGGAATAAAAAATGATAATGCATACAAATACAGTTTACAACATGCATCATGGTTGCAAACATTACAATAAGCATTGCCTCTGGTGCTGCCATTGATGAACAATAATTAATGACCTTTTCAGCAGAACCACTCAGGCTATAAGACTCACTTTGTACCATCTTGAAAATCTTACAAGGTCCTTCAAAGTCAGGGCTCATGATCTACCTTGAAAATTCCCAAAGCACCCAGAAAAAATATTTTGACTGGAACAAAATCCCCACTAAATATATTTTGGATTAATAACAAAATTATGTGTGGCAACAAACAGATACACTAGCCTACTGATTCAAACAAGGGGCAAGGTGAGGAAGAGAGGGTGAGATAAAGCCCATAAAATGACATCACAGCAAAAAATGTTAAGATCCCTGTTAGGAGAAAAAGGACAAGGAAATGAGATTTCTACTATGGAGCAGAGAGATTGAAATGCTGAAATTTGACAGAAAGAAAACTGAACAATTTAAATTTGATTTTTCATAGCTTCTGTGTTAAAGGGCATAAATGTTCTTGAGAATGAAAAGAGTAGAATAAACATCTGTCAGAAGGATATGCAGCTCAATACAGGTGAAAAAATTGGGGAAAAAACTTGCTTTAAATGCTGTTGAATTTTGCTGCTGAGACAAATTACAACCTTGGTATACTGATAAACTTTACTATTAAAGAAAATTAATTATAGAGAATGTTTTTAAAGAAACAATGGAAAAGTACAAGTGGGATGTAGACCAAAAATAAGCAAATACTTAATTTTCTGAAGAGAAAATGTGAATTTTATGCACTAAATAATTTTGATATTAATTCTTAGAAAATAATGCAATGGTCATTAAGAGATATCATGAATTCACTATGAACAATTCAGAATCTTCACAGTTCCTTTTTCTCCATATAATTATTAATATTTTTAATTAGTGAGAAATATAGCAGGTATTTATTTAATCTAGATTTTAGCAAGGCACTTCCTATTATCCTCATCACCACTTTCTTGTTAAAAATCAAGATATGTGGACTGGATTGTAATAGTAGCTGTATTTGTAACTGATTGATCAATGGCAACCATAGCATACAAACGATAGGCAAATCAGTATTAACTAAGCATGATCTAGAAGCTTTGAATTGAGTTATGTTCTTCACCTTAACCTGTTCAATATTTTACAATAAATTCAGGCCAGGTGCAGTGGCTCATGCCTGTAATCCAAGTGCTTTGGGAGGCTGAGTAAGGAGGATTGTTTGAGTCCAGGAATGCAAGGCTGCAGTGATCCATGATTGTGTCACTCTACTCTAGCCTGGGCAACAGTGTAAGGCCCTTTCTCAAAAATAAATGAATAAAGAAACAATTCAACTAAGTGAATGTCATATTTGTACATAACACAAATATGGGAGCAGGAATCATCAATTGGCTGAGTAATTGAATAGGGTTTAAAATAACTTAAAATGTTAGAAAACTGAGACAAATCTAAATCAATAAAATATATTTAGATATGACGTTAGGCTTTGTTGGCAAATAAAAACAAAATTACACGTACAACTATGAAGTGAGAGCATACAAGAATAATAGCTGTGGGCCGGGCGCAGTGGCTCAAGCCTGTAATCCTAGCACTTTGGGAGGCCGAGGCGGCTGGATCACGAGGTCAAGAGATCGAGACCATCCTGGTCAACATGGTGAAACCCTGTCTCTACTAAAAATACAGAAAATTAGCTGCGCATGGTGGCGCGTGCCTGTAATCCCAGCTACTCGGGAGGCTGAGGCAGGAGAATTGCCTGATCCCAGGAGGCGGAGGTTGTGGTGAGCTGAGATGGCGCCATTGCACTCCAGCCTGGGTAACAAGAGTGAAACTCCGTCACAAAAAAAAAAAAAAAAAAAAAAAAAGAATAATAGCTGTGCCTAAGGGGGAAACCTGTGAACTTGACTCCTAATTTGATAATATGAGTTGCCAAAAAATCTGATACAAACTTAAGCAGCAATAAACATCTAGGAATTATCCAGAAAGTGGGAGAACATAATTCTACTTTACTCTGCATCATTTATAGAATTTCTAGAGAATTATGCACAGTACTGAGTGTTGCAGAGATATAAATAAACTGAATTACATTCTAAAGAGAAAACTTCAAACCCATCACTTGAGACACTATGGAAGAATTGAGGCAATATGGCCTGTAGAGAAGGTGAACATTGATATTAGCACCCATTGCAAAGCAAAATAAATTTAGAAAACAATCCTTTCGGTACTGAGAAATCGTTTTCTCCTTTTAAGTTTTATTTTGTGCTTTAAAAGTAATTTTATTCCGATTATTAAAGTGAAATAGGTACACTGTAGACAACTGAGAAAATGTCACACTACATAAAATAATTGTGTTATTAATGCTAGTATTTGGTCTATTTCATTGCAGTTTTTGCATATATACTTCTAATTATACTGTATAATTTTATACACTATCATTTAGCATTGCATCATTAATGCTTTATTTCAAAAATTAATATTTACTTTCCCACTCAAGTCTGAAGATTTTGTGAACATGCGCAGAGAGATTGTGATTTTAAGTTCACTTTCAAAACTAAGTACAATGTAGAAGACTCTCAGATGCTGACCTAGATGCTAGGGACACAACAGAAAACAAAAGACAAAGAATTTTTGTGTGGTTTATATTTGAAGGTGTAATTGTTGAGAACAGGTATACAATGGACATGTAAGCAAATAAATGAAAATAATGTCTGATACAGTATATAATAAGGAAATTTGATTTGACAAATGTACCCCTATAAACGTATGACATTTGAACTGAGACCTCCATTACAAGAAGGAGCAAGCAATGTACAAATCTCACAGCAGACAGTTTCAGGCAGAAGAAACAGCAAATAAGAGAATCTATATAGGTAAGAATAAAAGGGTCAGTGTGGCTTGAGTTTGTAAGATTGGAGGAGGGCAGGACAAGGTGAGGTCACATAGACAGTCACGGTGAGGTCATGACAAGGGGTTTTATAGTATTCTGCATGCAACAGGAATCTTTCAGAATATTTTTGAGCATGAGAATTACTTTACCTGGTTTACTTTTGGAAAGTATCTTTCTGGCTACTGCAGGTAGAATGAATTACAGTGGGAACAAAGATAGCATTACGGAGAAAAAATACTTTAGTATTATAGTGAATAGAGACACCAAATACATGTTAGAGTTAAGATCTAGTTCCATCTGCTAAACATGAAAGAGTGACTTAACCTCTCTGAGCTTTGATTTCCTCCTGTTGGAAATGGGAAATATAATATCTACCTTTTGTAAATCCACCTTTGCAGATGTCTTATTTGCTATTTTGTTATATGGGTTGAAAATCTCAAATGACTAAGTAAACGTATGTTATCTTCTTTGGCATATAAAGTAAGCTGAAAATTAAAGGTGCCTCTAAAACCATTTCAGATAATCATGGGGTAATTTAAACTGTCACGTGATCTGTAGTTGAGGTATCTTGCATTCCATTCTCATACCTTTTAAGATCTTCAGTGAAAATAAAGTACTGGTAATTTTTAAGAATGATGACTAAATATAGGAACATGGGAGGAGAAGAGGAGAAATCTATTTTAGGGGATTAGACAATGGAATAATTAAAAACAATCCTTTAGTAAGCACAAATCACAGAAATAAATTATAGAGGTTAAATCCCTAAAAGTGAGCTCTAAGAAACCACCTTCCCTATTTAATTAACACTGAATAGTGCTGTTTAAAGTTGGCCACTTCATATTTTGTTGTATTGTGATTGATAACTGTTGCCACTGGAATACTACCCCCAACTCAGTTCTAAGGCTTTCTTGGGTAAGCCTGAGGAAAGACTCTGAAATACATATTTGACCATTAGGTAGCCATCTAATTCTCAGGTGGCCTGGCCTGTTCTTTGGCGCTTTCTTTTAGGGGCCGTGCAGCATCACTTCAACCCTTCTTTAGCGATTTGTTGGTTGGGCACATCTTGCCCGGCTAATAATGTGACTTCTTTCTCCTGACTACTTCAAATCCTTTTTTTGGAAAGTCAGGGAACAAATAAACAAACAAATCTATTTTCTACTTTCAGAAAGCCTGTTCCAAGGGTAGATTTAAGAGGTTCAATTGAAAACGCCTCGCCTATTAGCCAGTGATCTTAGAGATGACCAAACGTTTCTAAATAGCTTTGGAGGTCATTAAGAACATTATAGTAATAAGATTCAAGCTTTTATGTTAGACTATCTATGAAAATGAGGGGAAAATCCTATGTCTTTCAGTCTTTACCACTGTAATCCTGAGAAGTTTCATTCTGACACGAGGGTACTGCAATTTTCCACCAAAAGACCTGATTATATTTTCTCTAGACTTCTTCATATTTGTCTGCATGTTCGTATTGCAGAGTCAATAATGCCAGTGTACCTGTGTATGCTGCTGTGTGTAAACATGGGCATATTCATCTTATCACACCTCAATTTAGGGATATTTGACCCTATTTTTAAAAGAAGGAAATTATAATTATTTAAACATGACAATACCCAGAAATTGTACTTACTTTGTGTTCTTGGCCTAAGAACTAATAACGCAGCTAGAAATCTGTTAGGACAATTAGAAACCAGCCTGCTGTAATCTAAGTTGTAAACTGGCTAGAACGTGGCTGTGTCACATTCTTAACTCTGAAAAATGAAAAAAAATGTGTATAATAAACCTGTTCTCAGAATTTAAAATAACTTGCTAGCACACACATTTTAAAGGCTATGTATATGTAGATATACATATATTCTTTAGGTAAAAAGGAAAAATTAAAATCTGTTCACCGAAAAACAGATTAGAGGCCATAAAAGAATTTGGCACACGATAATGAGATTTCAGTGTAAATGACATGCAGTGATATTCTAATGTATCATGGCATCAGAGAAGACCCACAGCCTTTCCATGCAGACAAAAAGAAGCTTTCCATGCTGTCTTCTAAATGCTGAAGCCAAGAGTGACGTGGCCTTTTTGGGAGCTGAGGTTCAACCTTGGAGTTTGCTTTGGCTCAAATCCCAGGAATTGGACTACTGAGAGCTAAGGGCAAGATGCTGTGCCTAAGAAGCCACAGGAACGAACCAAGCCTCTCTCAGAGGCAGCAAGGCTACACAACCTGAAGGACTTAGGGGAAGGTTTTATTGTCCCCGGTGGAATTAGCATCACAGAAGGAAATGTATTAAGTACATGCTGTTAAAGAGCAGTATGTGATGTGCTTGACAGAGCATAAGATCCAGAGGCAGAAATGTAGGCTTAAGTCTTGGGTCTGTTACAAAGAATCCTAGCCAAATCACACATTGCCATTGGACATACAGCTTCTTTATTTTTATAATGGAAATAATAATAGTTAAGTTATTTCAAATGCTTACTACATTCCAGGCACCTGTGCTGTGAGGGTCATGGACATGCACCACTCCACAATGGTCTCCCTTCAAGAAATGAGAGCCTCCAGCTGCTACCCTTTGGGATCCATGGGTGCTTGTCCTAGGGCCATGCTTCCTCCAGGCTGTTCTCAGATGATGACTCACTAGGGATATTAGAATTGAGCTATTTCTTCCCATTGCAGAACACCACTAGCAGGTAACTTTTTATTTGGATTGAGTCTTTTTCAGAATTGTACTCTGAAGCTTTTCCAAACCAATCCTTTATCTGTGTGGTCCTTTGCTCACACGTGTCAGACCTACATTGCAATCTGAAGCCTCCTTTCACCTTCTCTGCTGTCTCCTCCTCTATTCTTCACATGTATTTTTCCCAATAAATCTCTTGAACAGTTCATTCCATCTCAGTGTCTGCTTCTTGAGTGCCCCAAACTGAAACACACAGTAAAGGACTGATATAATCTCATTTCCTTTTCATAACAAGCCTATAAAATTCCTATTATGATCTCCGCTTTACAAACATGGAAAGGAACAGAGAGGAATTAAATTAAAAATGAAACAGTTATTTCACAAGGTTGTGTGAATATCTAATGACGTAGTATCTGTGGAAGGGCTTTATACCTAATTTTTTTTTGTTTTGTTTTGTCTTCAGTGATGGGCAAAAACACAGAGTATCCATAACAGTTTTTTCCCCCTTAGGTTTCTACCAGTTTTAGGCACTTATGCTTGAAAACTTTTCTTAGCTTCCAAAGGTGTCGTGAGAAAGCAATACTGAATCTTTGTCCCACTCTTTGTATCACATCTTTTTCTATCCTTTGGGGACAAGGTAGAGTGCCATTTGCACATGTAAGTCAGGGTAATATGACATCCTTGACACAGCATTCTAATCTGCAAAACCAGAGTTCTATTCTCCTAAGCTCTCTAATCAATTTAATAATCAACAATTTACTAGTCACTAAGGAGGACAAAGCTGCAGGAAATAAGAGACTTTTGCTTCCGTTAATGTCCTTCCTAAGCATTCAGGCTTCCTGACAAAAGTCCTGGTATGCAAGTATGTAGTGGCCAGTGTGGATGGTCAACATATTCTGTTTTCCCCCTGCTAATTAAGCTTGAAAAAAGGCTAATTTTATGTTCTTTGGTGAAACAGAGGCTATCACTTTTTTCATAAACCAGTTTTCATAGAGCAGAATAATTTATTCATTTTTGCCACTTTGATACATCAATTTGATGCACCATTTTGCACTCTGGATACAACCTACGCTTCCTTGATCTCCATCTTGTTCTGGAGTACAGTTACAAGCTTGTTGAAACAATAGTTTGGACTACAAAACCAACCCCATTTCTAGAGACAAGCGAGCAATGTCCACAGAGTATGCATAGATGGGAAGTTGTGAGGCAGGCATCATTCTCAAACCCCTAGATGTTAAGAAAAAAAATTATTCAGACAATCTGTAGTATTGCTTTTACTGAGATACGGGAAGGAAGGGCCACAAAAAGCTATGGGAAAAGAGGACAACCACGGTGGGCCTGAGCTGAGAGTAGCACTGAGAGCTATAGGGTAGAAGAAAGTGCCAGTGAACAGTGCCTGAACATAACCAGCAGTTGTATGCATTCTCTGCAGATTCTCCTTGAATGTGAATAGTCAGAGAAAGCAACAAGGATGGAACTGTTGCATCTGTGGAGTTCCCAGTGGTGTTTCCAAGGAGATACACTGAGTAGACCAATTGATGAGTTTGGAATCTTGTGGGAGTCAAAAAGCCCATCTCCTCAAGCTGACTGAATATTGGCCTCTAACAGATTCAGCAATGTCAGAGAATTCCAGGGAGCTTAGAAAGCTATCAGGGAAAAGTACCTCCTCCTCCCTACTAATTCTGACAGCTCCTGCCTCTGACTGAGATGCATTCTTCTGAATAAAAGTGCCAGCTTGCCTCTCCCACAGGGGCGGTAGGCAGAAGGAAACCAAGACCCCTGTGTGGGTCTTACAGACTTCTCCATTTGTTTTCATTTTGCCAACAGACACTTCTATTTAAACTTCTTGGAAGGATATCTCAATAACCTCCCTTTGCTGAGGCCCGGAAGACAGAAGATAAGAATCATCTGCCCTCTTCTCTTCACTCAGTCTTCCATCCTGTTTGATGACACAGGGGCTACAAGGCCTTTGACAGAAAGAACTTGTCTTAGGTTCTAATCAGTTTAACAAATAGGAGAGACAGCTGCTGAGCACTGTCTAAGTGACACTGGTAAGTATGCATTGAAGCGATTAGCTCACATCCATTTATCAAAGTAAGGCTTGATAACAGACCAAAAATTATATACACACTCCAAAAAATAAATCTCTGGCCCATCGTCATTTTGATTCAAATCAGTCTTCTGCAAATCCGAATACTGCATACCCTTATGAAACAGATCTTGTTTAATATCTACCAAGATTTCTTTTAAATGAGGCTTTGCCATACTTTTTTGGCCCAATTCTTACAAGTCATTTTGTGATTACATGATCAGTTAGGTAAACATATTGCCTTTTCTCTGCTACTCATTTCCATATGGGAACATTTTCCCTAAGTACGCTCCTGGTTTCTATTCATTCCTTCATTTACTTCCTCTGGGAGGTGGTATAGCATACCTGATGGTTAAATTTGAGAAGAATAATGCTGTTGGCCCAGATTCACTCTTCCTTTTTATGGGAAGGGGCCTGTCAACTGAGACCACAGGAGACGCTTCCTCAACGTCTCCTTGCTGTGAGTCCTGCAGGAACCCACCTTTGCAGGCTGCTCAGGGATAAGACTACCTTACCCAGAAGGGGTGAGTCTCCTAAGTCAAGGGTTCAGTATTTGCAAAGCCACGTGGCCAACAGACCCCAAAATACAACAAATAAGTTAGTAATTATCAGTACTAAGATGACATTTTGGCTTCTGTTTTTCCTTCTTTTTCTTTTCAACTTGTTCAGAACCAGGCTGAGAAAAAGAGATACTATTGACTGTGAGCTTCTTGAAGAGATAGATAATTATAGTATCAGTAGTCTTACTATTAAGTGACTCAAATGTCTGTTATATTCTTTAGTAATGAACTCTCTAATGAGGAAAACTGTAACTCACAAACATGAAGATAGTGGGGTAGGTACAAGGAGATATTGATCCCTGGGTCAGTGTGTTCCAAAAATGGAAAATCAGGTGATACACAGGAGTGTTTTTCAAAGAAACAAATAGAAGAATAAGATATTTAAACCATACACCATTGTTTTTTAGGAACTTTAGGTGAACTTGTCGTGAAGCCCGGTAAATAAAGTCGCATCTTTCATATATAGTCTCACACATACACACTGTCTTACTCATTAGTCAGATAAGATTGCTGAAAAATAGATAATATATGTGAAAAAAACTCTTTGTAAATTAAGGTGCTACAGACTATCCATATATAATTATTATTACTATTGCTTTTATGAATGCTCATATTCAGAAGAAACCAAGAAAAATTGGTGGAAGAAAACCAAATAGAGAATGTAGCAAAATGATGAATCAAGATTGGAAGGGTTGTTTTTAGTACTTCAAAGATGTTTATTCTTTGGCAAATAAAAATTCCACATAAGTTTTCTGATAATAAAGGTATATAGTATTATAATTTGGTATTTTGTATTTACAGTAATTTGTAGGGATTTTAAATCACACTGCCATACATATGTTTGTTGTGCAATGTATATTTGGTTATGAGGAAACATGTTCATTTTTGGCACATTTCACCACAGATGTGCCTATTAGCAGTCTTCTGATCTGTCAGTTTGTGCCAGACATATGCAAAGAGTGCCAGTGACCCTCCCAGATATGATACTTCTATGCTTATGAGACACAGACAAAATGAGCCTGCACCTTACCTCTCTATGCAAAAAGAACTGGACAGACACACAACACAGTGTTAAGAGGAGAGAGCCCTGGCCCCACATGTGAACCAATGTGGGTACTCAGATGTCATACCCTCATAAAAGGGTCACTTCTTTGTGTCATTCAATTATTTCAAATAGACAAAACACAAACACCAGTTGAAGTTATCTCAACCAAAGAGTTTCATAGCCCACCCGAGGCTGAGTTCTCAGCAAGTACCTGCAGGAAGTATATACACCCTTAAAGTCAATTCTTCCAAGCTCTGGAAGCAGTCAGACTCCTGAGTGCTTATGGAATGGAAGCCACCTAAGTCTCTAATCAATAAAAAGTAGTTCTAGGAGTTTATTCCTCCCCATAGAATACTTACTTCATTAAATACGTCTTCATTTATTTATAATTTATACTGCCCTGCTTTCAAAAAGGATTCCAGAGACCAATATGTCCACAAAACTGACTTATGTCCAGTTCCTGGTTCATTTTGACCCCTATATAATTTTCTCTAATTGAAAGCTTTTACTGAAATGGATAATATTGATCACTTGCTTTTGCATAAACAGAAATTTCATATAATAATAATTTTATGTGTTTTGTCAGAATCTTAACTATAATTCCATAATTGTTTATCTGGTTACATTTCTTGATGTATATGAAGGAAAATGATAACCCATTAATTAAGCACTGTACATAAAGTAATTGTGTCTGGTAACCTCTCTACTTTAGAAATATAAATACATGTGTATGCATTTGTGTGTGTGTGTGTGTGTGTGTGTACCTATAACACTTTTGTATTCTGAAAAGCTTAAATGTTCTAAGAAATCAAGATTTATAGGAAAAGAAAATTTCGTCTCCCAAGTGAATTTAATGGCTGAATTTTTATTTATTTTTACTTTAGATTTACATATAAATGAACTACCAAGCCCCCTTCTATCAACCCAGAATAAAATCTGGTTTTAGCATACGCAGTCCTATGAGACATGGTTAAAGGATATCAGAAATAGATAGAGATAAAAGAAATCAAGGACCATTCCTCCACGATTCTCCAAAGACAAAAACAACAATCGAAGAAAAAAGAGTGAGAGAACAGATGGGCTGGCAGAGTTTTGCTTTCTATGTGACATTGTGTACTTATTATTCACATGAGGACTAATTTATAAACCCAGATAGTGTTTATAAACTACACTGTCCTAATGGAAATGAAAGCATTAATACAACTAGAAGATTCTTTACTTTCCAGGTTTTAATTAAAATCACAGGCGTTAAGAAGCAAAAGTGTCTTCATGGAATACAAGTCTAATGAAGTATTTCCTTGCCTAGCACAGAGCTCTGTGTGCAGTCCCAGCTTGCTGGCAACCAACCACTGGAAAATCCAACCCGCTTGTAACTAGAAGAGCTCTCTGAAAATTAGAAAAGCAAATCATAGCACTTTTTTTTTCAAATAAATATAGTTGCCAAGTCAGAGCTAGGAAAAACAATAGCAAGTCATAAATTAAAAACGCACACACTCACAACCTTAGAACATGTTACGTTAATTAGCTACCTAGAGCACTAGAGGCAAATGTGTTTGTTCTATGTGCTGAAGAGAGGGAAAAGTCTCAGCTCAGGAAAGAGGAACGTGGAAACATGGTAAAAACGATCTAAGTAAGAGGGGAGAGAGAAAGGAAACAAGAGGAAAGGGCTGAACGAGTTTTGCTACCAGATGATGGTGAAAAAGACACAGAAGCCTAGGAAGAGACTTTGATTAAAATGCCCACCATGTGACATACTCTTTCTTTTTGCCTCTTAAAGGTATCATCTCGTTTATGCATAGGCAAACTAAGGTTGTGGTAGAATTAAACTGTCTTCCCTATAAATCAGACAGCAAAAGGGAACAGTGAGCTACACACACACACACACACACACACACGTGTGTGTGTATATATGTGCAGTTACCAGCTGCTTTGTTTAGTGATAATGATAATGATTGTTAATGATGACATAAATGATGATGGTATATGCAATATATTAAGTACCAATGATAGGTAATATGCTAGGTGTTTTACAAGGATCATTTCTAATTCATAGAACAACTCTGGGAAGTAGGTGTTATTTACCCCTTAATAGTATGTACATATACATTACTGTGGATGATACGACTATTGAGTGACAGCCTGTATTTGAAAAGAGCTCTTTAAAATAACAGGATTTTTATTTTATTTCATTATTTATTTTGATACAGGGTTTCACTCTGTTGCCCAGGCTAGAGTGCAGTGGCGTGATCTCCACTCACTGCAACCTCTGCCTCCTGAGCTCAGTGATTCTCCCACCTCAGCTTCCTGAGTATCTAGGACTACAGGTGCACACCACCACGCCCAGCTAATTTTTGTATCATTTGATACAGACGGGTTTTACCATGTTGGTCAGGCTGGTCTTGAACTCCTGACCTCAAGTGATCCACCCGCCTTGGCCTCCCTAAGTGCTCGGATTACAGACCTGAGGTACCACACCCGGCCAAGAACTGGGTTTTTAAAAACAGTATTCTGGTTGTCCTTAAAGACTAAGATACACACACACATAATATATATATTCTTATCCATATTCATATATGTATGTATGAAGGGGATGGATGTGAGAAGGAGCTAACATTTATTGAATGTTGTCTTTTTCCCAGGCACCTGCTGGGTTCATATTTTATTTTAACTCAATTCTCCAAATGTCTTACAAGATATGAATTTATCCTTCTTTTTTGTGGTATGTTGGAAACTGATGCCTTGATTTTTAAGAATTTTTGTCTAAATTCACTAGTAAATCGCACAAGCTGTATTTGAATCTAAGTTGGTCTGACTCTGAATAGTACTGACCAAAATAAGTATAATTCAGGCCATACATGAGTCACATATGTGATTTTAAAGTTTCTAGTGGTCCTGGTATACAGCTATGCACACCACAACCGTAGTCAATTGTCACCTTCTCCTGGTTCCTGGGTTGACCCAGAATCAAGGATTTTATTTTCTAGTGATTATCGGTATGATTCCTCTTGACAACCTTATGATGGCTCCATGTAAGTAGGCAAAGTTGAGTAAGGAGTGAGTTCTCAGCGCCCATCACTACTGCACTTTCTAAGAATGCACACAACAGCTCCAAAGACTAGCACGGTTTCAGACAGGGAAACTAAGCCCGCAGGGACAGATGTCCTCTTTACTGGCCTTTGTCTGTGAAAGGCATTTTTCTGTTAGTTTATTTTGCCCCTCCAATCAGAGAGATTAAATTCATATGAGAAACCAAGTATACACCTATATATGCCAACTACATTGATTTAAAAATATATCCTTTCATAATAGAGGAGTGAATAAAATTACAGTGTGTGAGATTGGGAGTTAGTGCCACAGAGATGTGTAACACTGGCTGCTATCACGATGCAGTTTAATAACACAAGCATTTCTCACTTCAACACTGCTACCATATTCCTAGAAGCATTCATTCTAAACACCACATAGACATCCTTTAAGAAAATAAAGACTGGCCCTTGATTTGCTTGCAAATTTAAGGTGTTTTATATTGGGGTTCCATAAAGCAGCATGCATTTTCTAAGAAATATGTGGGCAAAGGTTAGATTTACCCTAATTTCTTATGACTATAGGCAAGAAGAGTGTACATTAATTAATTACTTGTCCATTAATCTAGTGTGGTTGTTGAAAGGATTAATATATCCAGACATCTTTAAAGATAACCATAGAAAGACATTGATTCAGATGAGTGGCCAGAATAGAAGTCTTATTCAAATATAGCCACAGTGTGTTCTATGCAAGACACACCAAGCATAGAAATAAATGTTACTTGTCTTCAAGGATTTTTCATTTAAAAATGGATACACCGATTATAAAAGCATTAGTAAATAATAATTACATACACTTTTCATTCTCATGTTCTTTGTATATATGTTTCAAATTTCCTAGTCAATCTTACTTTAAATGTATTGACAGACCATAACTTCAGTGCACCATTCTTTATTACCCACCCAACATATGCTTTGTGAGCCTAACTGGCTATAAATAATAGAACCGAATTTTTTAACAAGGCACGTATCTCCCTAACCAAATCATAATCCTTTATAATATGCTCGTGTTATATCATTATAAAAGTAATTAGACCATTTTACATTTCTCTTTTGATATTGATTTAAATAATTTAGTAGACAGTCTTTGGAATTTTTAGTGATTTTTTAAAATCATATTTTTAAAGTAAATAAACTATCATGCCTTTACTTAACCCCTAAATATAGTAGGTATTATGCTAAATGCTTAATAGATATTAAATCATAATTTAACATTTTCTTTTTCTTTTTTTTGGTGTGCACTTCTATTCAACTGATCTCAAGTCAGTGTACAGGTAACTGCTGGCTGCCTCTACCACTCCCAGGGAGACCAAAAGCCTTCATACATCTCAAGTTGGGGGACAAAAATGGGGCAGCCACAAAGGCTAAAATTTTCAAAATAAAACAAAATGAAAAAGTATTAAGGCAAAGATTAAAAAATTTTTGCATTACATAATTTACATGAAAGCAATGCTATTACCTCCCCTGTATGGACACGGGAGAGTACTAGGTCATTCTCTTTAGAGAGAAGTGGGGTGGCTTTTGGGAGGGTAAGGGACTTCCTGTAACAATGTATCTCACGATATTTGGAATGACTATTAAAAAAAGAACAATATCCAATCAAAGTCCTTGGCCACATTGTAGAACTTTGGGGAATGCTCCATCCAACTAACTACTGTCACCTTCACCATTTCAGTTTTTAAAATCCTGAGTCAAGCCAAAAAAACAAAACAAAACAAAACCAAAAAACAAATAAAGCCATGCCAAACTCATCTTGTATTCTGCGCAAGTTAGGTTTTGTCAAGAAAGGGTGTAATGCCGCTAAGTCACAGCCCACTTAGAAGCCTTTGTAGTGGATGACGGAGGGGCCAGACTCGTTGCACTCCTGCTTCCTTATCCACATCTGCTGGAAGATGGACAGTGAGGCCAGGATGGAGCTGCCGATCCACATGGAGCACTTGCACTTGGGAGGAGCAATGATCTTGATCTTCATCGTGCTGCACGCCAGGGTGGTGATCTCCTTCTACACCCTGTTGGTGATGCCAGGGTAAATGGTGGTGCAACCAGACAGCACTGTGTTGATAAACAGGTCTTTGCATATGTCCATGTCACACTTAATGATAGAGTTGAAGGTAGTTTCATGGATGTCACAGGATTCCATGCCCAGGAAGGAAGGCTGGAAGCATGCCTTGGAGCAACAGAACTGCTCATTGCCAGTGGTGATGATCTGGCCATCCAGCAGATCATAGCTCTTCTCTAGGGAGGAGCTGGAGGCCTCTGTGGCCATTTCCTGCTCAAAGTCCAGGGTGATGTAGCAAAGCTTCTCCTTGATGTCACACAGGATTTCCTACTCAGCCACGGTGGTAAAGCTGGAGCCACGCTAGGTGAGGCTCTTCATGAGGTAATCAGTCAGGTTCCAGCCAGATGTCCAGATGCAGAATGGTGTGGGGGAGGGCATAACCCTCATAGATGGGCACAGTGTGGGTGACCCTATCACTGGAGTCCATCTACTAGGGTCCAGTGGTAGGGCCAGAGGTGCACAGGGACAGCACAGTCTGGATGGCCATGTACATGGCTGGTGTGTTGAAGGTCTCAAACATGATCTGGGTCATCTTCTCAAAGTTGGCCTTGGGGTTCAGGGGGGCCTTGGTCAGCAGCACAGGGTGCTCCTCGGAAGCCACACGCAGCTTGTGGTAGAAGGTGTGGTATCAGATCTTCTCCATGTCCTCCCAGTTGGTTATGATGCCATGCTCACTGGGGTATTTCAGAATCAGGATCCCTATCTTACTCCAGGCCTTGTCACCCACATAGGAGTCCCTCTGACTCAGGCCCAACATCATGCCCTGGTGCCTGGGGTGCCCCACGATGGAGGGGAAGATGCCTGGGGGCATCATCACCCATGAACCCGGCCTTGCACATGCTGGAGCTGTTGTCCACAATGAGTGTGGCGATATCCTCATCCATGGTGAGCTGGTGGCGGGTGTCGACAGGTGGTGGAGTGGTGAGTGTGAGGCTCTGTGCTGGCAGAGTGGACGTGGTCTGGGTGGTCAACAGTTTAATTTTCATAGAACCCTATATATCACTATCTTCACTTTACAGCTGAGAAAACTGGGAATCAGAGATATTAACCAAAAGGTACAAGAATACACAACTGGTAAATGGCTGAACCAGGCTATGTACCCCAGAACTCCTGAACTTTCATATCCAGAATGTTCTTACAATGAGAAAAATGTGATTTTGAATCAAGTCGTGAAAAAACCGAGAGTGGCCAACTTGGGTAACACTATTTGGATCTAAAAATAAAGGATGATTTTAAAATAATAAGTTTTCGTTGTGATTCTTAAAATAATTCTATTCCCCTGAAAAATTTTCATATGAGCAATATTATTATTAGAATAATGACATAAGAATCTATAATAATCAGTTCTATGTATATATTCTGGTTTACTCATTTAAGCTGTATTCTTGCTGTTTTATAGTCTTATCTTTTAATTACTTGAGCTGAGAGGAGGTTGAGGGTTAAATCTGAAGTTCCTGAAGGTGCATCCAAAGACATGGGCCACCGACTGTCTTCCAAAGGGATACCTGAGCATTAATATGGGCAGATCACGCTTGAGGAGCCCAAGGGAGTAGCAGACTATCAAGGCATCATTGTATAGCAGAAGAGTCAGTAGAAAAACTAGGAAGAGACCATTTGCAGTCTCTTTAGTTCATGTCCAGGATTCACTTTCTATATGCATAAGATAGACTAAAGATGCCCAATTCACACTGGTCCTGCAAGGATCAAAAGAAAATAAGTGGAAATCCTATGAGTCACTGTCTGACTAATAGGAGCACAGAGTGTTTGTACCTCTCCTTCCTCTTCACTGAAGCTCATCCGAGTCTTGAGTAGGAAAAACTCTCGGTAAGGACAAATGCAAAATACACAAACGGCTAATCAACACTCAAGAGTTAACCTGTGCAGATTGAGAACTCATATGAATCTGTGAGATTAAGGTTTCTGTTGTCTATAATTTAGAGAAAAATGGAAACTGAACCAAGGATCAGGGTGAAGAAAATGAACGGTGTCTTTTCAGAGTGGTATAAAGTGCTCTGATTTTCTTTCATAGCAAACACAGCCAGGATAGAACAGTAGCACACATGTTCTCTCTCACACACATTTCAGAAGACAAATCATGTGATTCGGTAACCACTCACATGTTCATGCAAATGAATGCCAAGCCAGTAAATTCCTCAGAGAGTGTACAATGTCAACAGAACACTTGGCTACAAAAGTTTTTGTTGTACACAAAGATGTCACTCTCTTTACAACTGTGCCTCTCCAGATATGTTTTCCCAGAGGAAGACAAACCCTAAGTAGCAAAGGTGGGAGGAAGGGACTGAACAGGAGACACATTACTAGTGAGACCCAGAACAGATGACAGATATAAATGGCTTTGGGAAAACACTTTCTTCATCTTCCCATTTCACACTTGGATGGCTTCAACAGTTTTATGGACCCTCCCAACCCCTACCCCACCTCCTGTAAATGTTTTATGTAATGCCGGCCTATCATTGTGCTTGCACGATAAACATGACAAGCATGCTGCCAACATCCACCCCAAGAAGGGACTGGCAAGGCCACAGCCCGAGCAAATGGATGGGAATCACGTTAACACACGCTTCTAAGGTAAATCAGAATAGAAACATCAGACAATAAGACACCGATTCTCAGACATTTTGTGCAGGAGCTGAATCTACTATTGCTACTGAAAGGACTGTGGACAGGGGAATGCCTGTCACAGTTACAGATTTTCTGGTGGGTGGGATGGAGGTAGGAGTGACAGAGCCACCTATCAGCCATACCGGAGATGATTGATGAGCCAGAAAAAACAGGCAGCGAATTCCAGCCTCTCTCCAGAATCCATTTGTTATTTCCAATCTCTCTCTGTCTCTGTCTCTGCCTCTCTCACACTGCAGCTAATCACTGGTGATAGATGAGGGTAGATATTCACTCCTTCCTTCAGGCACCCAATTGCATTTTCTCTTGCTTGTCACCAGGTCTATCATCCATTTCTCAATGAGTCCTTTACACAAATAAGAAAAGAGCCATTCTCTCCCTAGAACTGTTAATGCTAGTCCTGAAGTGTTGAGAAAAAGGCAGGAGAAAAAAGATCAAAGTATTTTTTTGTTTTGTTTTACTCATAAAGGGACAGAAGAAAAGCATTTCCAGGAGAAATGCACTGAGTAATCAGTGTCGAGTGCTGAAGGGGAAGTACAAATAAAAATGCAACAAAATTGGAGAGCTGGGAGTAACATGATTTGGCAAGAGTCTAGCCCTCATCCCTGTGTCCCCATTTGAATTGGACGTAGTTATTCCAAATGGCTCATTAAGGCAGCCCAGGCACCAGTGTAGCTGGTGTTTACAGGACCTTGTCATTTGCATATTTCTACTGATGACCCACTCAAATAAAAATGGACAAATTTTGGTCATATCTCATTTTCATATCTTCAAGAAGTATAAGCCAGTGAGTAGAGTTGTAAAATTAAGGCTGTAAGTGATGTGTGTGTTAACATGATGGGGCTAGAACATTCAGTACTTCACATTGGCTGGGATTCATTTAGAACCAAGCACATGGTGGATGCTCAAAATATTGGATCCAGCATCTGCATGTGAGGCCAAACAGCTTCACAAGAAACAGCCAAACTGAATATTTTGGTCCTAATATATTTGGCTATGCACATGAGGAACATTTTGGATCAGGAGCTCTATGATGTGAAGACAGGGACATTGCTGAACATGATAATGGTGATGTAAACAAAAATAGCCATGATCACAGTGATAGCCACAATAAATACAGACTTGAGTAATGTGACCCATCAGGGCAATCTCTTCTTAAACAAACTCCTTTAAATTGACTTAAAAGATTAAGTGACCACCTTTCTCAAAAGGAACTCTGTTTTATACCTTGGAGCCTTACTAATGGGAACTCCTATTAACTAAATTAAAATCTGTCACCTTTGCCAAACTATCTTGTTAATAGATATGTCGGGACCAGGTACTGCTATTTGAAGAAATCTGTTATACATTAAAAGAAGGTATTCTTATATTTACATACAAGTTTCTTGGTCAGAAATGCATTGTTGAAAGAAACAGGGAAAAAAGATTTGGCCATCCTACCATGTCATGAAGATAACCTCATAAAAGGAGGAGAGTATATTGTTACTTATGCATAGGGAGGAATGGATATTTTTATCAAACTGTCAAAAATAAATTTCTAAATGTTTACATTTAAAAATATGCAAACTAAAAAATATGTAATATGTAAATAAAAAATATGTAAACTAAAAAAGCTTCCTACATATGTTGCTGCCTTAAACCAAAGTATACATTTCCATGTTCTAGAATTTATATATATCTACATATAGTTTATATTTCTGTAATCATAGTATATGTCTATGATGATAAATACGAAGCCTAAAGTGTCATGAGTGCACCGATAATGCTGGGCATGAGAGGGCACTTCACCATATTTCTAAACCATAGTTGTATGATTATCGTGTTTACAATAAAAAATATTATCGTGCATTAAAAATGATACTTTAAAAATACACTTATTAGGAAAATAATGCTGAGAAACAATCAGTGCAGCACCATAAATTAGAGAAATGAATGAAGCCCTCTGGGGATGAAAATTACCCCCAAAGGGCTTCATTTCCTTTTGGCCCAAAGTCAACATCATCACTATCTAGTTACAAAATCGGTGCTGCAAACACTACCCTGACCATAGGCACCAGTGTGCAGTGGAAATGACTCGACGATGTTCCTTCGATACAGTTACTCAAATGGCCTTAGCAGACACATTTTTAGCCGAAATTATTTTGTGGCAATCAACATTTCTAAGAGAAAAAAAATGAAGCAACTATGGAGAAATTAGATTACCACCTTATATTCTAATCATGTTCATGAGTGACTTGGAACTCTCATAGGAATTGACTCTCTAGATTAAGAAGCCTATTTGGTATTATTGGAGCTGTAAATATATAAACAAATAATTTAACATTCAGGCCCTTGATTATCAAATGATTTGCCAATCCTTAATGCAATGCATTATTGTTCAACCCTAAACTTTGCTTTAATTATATAAAGCACATTCTGCAAATTATTTATGTGAATGAGGTTTCAGGAATTGCTGCCACACGGTGATGGTCTCTCTTTGTTCTATCAGAGTGGCCCCCTTATTTGAGAAGAGCATATAACCTACCCAAGGAGCATGAGTCTATGAAGGCATCATCCTTCAGTTTTCGTACCCTGAAGGCACAACTGTTTGGATAAGTATCGACATTTCACCCTTCATCAATGCTAAAATTTAGCGCTGAGTTCCTACAATAAAGGCTTATGTCTTCGGCCTTTTTCTTATTAATCCTATTACATTTGTCTTTATGAGCTCTCCTAGTTCCTTTCACTCCCTCTGGGGCTTAGCTGCAAATGAGATTTCACATCTCAGTGTAAAATAGCCCGAACATTTTTCTATAAAATTAAATAAAAGTCCTCCATCCTGGCACTACATGCCTAGAATCCAATTTCTGGAACCAATGTCTTTCCCAACGCCTCATTGTCTTCTTGCCATCTCACTTTTCTTAGCACTAGGAGCATTTTTTTTTTGCTTTTTCTTTTGCATTCAAATGATTTATTGGTGTGGGAAGTAAGAACAGTATCTGATGGTCAGAATGAATAGTGGACAGCAGAATCCTATGCCCACTTTTCTGAAGACATTGTATGACTAGGACTGAAAACTAGTCTCTCCTGTGGCTCAGGCCATCTCTGTTTCTCTCTTCTAGTCCCTGCCTGTGCTTCTAGAGTGAACAAGCTACAATCACACACACAAACACAATCCTTCGATGCTTCTCCTTGAAAATGAATTAGAGTTTTTCAAAAATAAAGCTCAGAGGATAAACAAGTCCTAGGCATACTGCAAAAGGTTTAGTCCTTTGAAGGCATTTCAAGTATCAGAAGCATCCCATCCTAATGGACCTACGTCCAAACACACAAGCCAAACAAATGTCAGGCATCTCAGGAATCCCTTAGAGCATTCCATTCAGTACATCCAGGTGTGATTACAGGTGAGTAGAATTTTTCACTTAAACAAATTCCAGGTAGTATTGAGGTTTTATAAATAGTAACATTTTTTAAATAACAAAAAGAAATTATTCATTCAAACATTTTGCATCCTCCTCAAGATCTTGCTTAAATTTAGATCACAGGTGCAATGTTAATAAAATTCCACTTTCTGAAGTTTTCTCTCTATATAAATTGGCAATGGATGGCAATGAATTATGCACACAGAAAATACCAAGTAAATCTAGTTTAGTGAAAAGTATGTTAAATTGTCATCCTAGTTATTTTCTGATCCAAGAAGAGTCTCCATATTTTTAAATTGCAGAAATTACTTTGGAGATCTTTCACGCACTCTTAGCCCAAAAATTTTTTAATCGCTTAAACAAAGAGGAAAATCTATACAGAGATACAGACAAAAATACCTTCAGAAGGTGACATCAAGGTGTGAAACAGCTAGGTAAGTGTAGCAGGAAGTGCTCAGGACAGAGGTAAAATCATCACATCATTACATCTATCCTAAAGATACTTACATGCTTCAATAGAAATAAATAAAATGTACATCAAACATTTTGTGGTGCTCCCATCTGTCAGAGAAACCTGAAAGAAATGAGGCCTAATGCTGCTTCTAACTCTCTATGGTTCTACTATTAATTTAAGCAATTATTTTGAAACCGAGCTATAGCAATGGGATAGCCACTAAATGATATAAATGTTTCACATCACTAAAAAGTTTCAATGAGATTAAAATAACCCTACTAATATTAGCTGGGTTTACTATGTTATTTTGCCTTGGGAATTTAATCTGAAATTGTATAGGCTTCTGATTGAATAAAAATTAATTCTTATTGAAAGTAATTCTTCTATAGGAAACAGAATCTCATTGGGAAAGGTACCATCATTTATGAGGGGTAGAATTCTAGCCATGAAAATATCACATGAAGAAGACTGAATGTGAATTTGTATACAAGTTATAAAAGAAGGATTGACAGACTGCATGTATCAAAGGCTTAGAAATACCACTTGAAAATGTGAATATGTATGTTATGGATATTATTTTTTATATCATCACTACAAGCGAAGTGAAGTACATTGAGAATATATTATAAAGAAGATAATCCAATTGCTTTCTAACTGACATAAAATATACCATATTAAATAGCAAATGTATTTTGCTGACATAACTTCCAGAGAGAGATTTCACTTTTGCTTATGCTAATTCATAAAGAATGCATCAGGTCTATGAGGCAAGTCCAATCAGTAGTGATCATGTAAAAAATATGGCCAAGGTTTTGTAGGTTTCATTGACAGGAGGGCATAACTATATGACTTTTTGGAGTTTCAGAGATAAATTTTGAAAAGATTCAAATAAAAAAATATTGTTTTCCTCCTGACAGATTTGCAAATACTCAGTGATTAT